AGCCTAGCTCCAGGTTGAGCTGTTGTTCACCATCTTAGCTGTAGAGGGTGCAGTGTTACTGGCCCATGTGGGATCCGAACTGGGGTCCTGCTGCTCAGAGCTGGTGTCCCAAGACAACTCTTAACCAACGCACCACTCGGCTGGCCCTGTTATTTTTTTAATGTCTGTGACTGGGCCATGTTTATAGTTGGCACTCCATAAATGTTAATAGGAGGGAGGAATAAAAGATTAACATCATTATCAGCCTTATTTTACTGTCATACAACGTTAATGACATGTTACTCCTGTAGTCCTGACTCCACTTCCAGTCATATGTGAGGATCATGCCCACTATCATGAAGACACTGTGAAAACATTCCACACTGTTCTGTGGACCCAATAGCAGCAAAGTTCCATCCTGTCTCTCAAGATGTTAATAGAACAGGTGGAAATCTTTTTCATCGTGTAGTCTAGCTTTATTAAGAGGTAAGCAGGAAGAAGCTAGGCCCCTGTAAGTCCTAAGTGACAGCATGAATTATAATATGTCAGATATATTCACAAAGCTAGCAGTCTCGGCAGGGTTGGGTGGGATGGAGGAGGTAACTACAGAAGCAATTATAATATGCTCTTGTTGGGCAAGTTCAGAGTGCAGTGAGGTCCTGTGGCAGGGAGACTGTCATAGTCTAAAGTGATTCAGGAAGATGTCCCAGAGCAAAGGACATCTACAAGGAGACCTGGGGCTTAAAATGGGTGTTAATCAGACAGAGAGAACAGCATGGGAGTCGCATGAGGGGCCCTTTCTGTTGTGATAAAAAATATGGTGAATGTAGGGCCAGCTGAGTGGCTCACTTGATTAAGAGCTTGCTCAAGAGTGTGAGCTCTGAGCAGTAGGGTCGCCGGTTCGATTCCTGGCCCGAGCTGAGCTGCCACTGAGCTGCCAACAGGTGGCAGGATGGCTCAGTTAAAAAAAAAAAGTACGGTGAATGCTGCTGCCGAGTGCCATCCTATGGAAAGGCAGGGATCTTCAATACAGGAAGCAGCGCGTTGAACCTTAGTAACAGTGTGTGACAAGCTTCAGCTTGTTCAGTGCGGTCAGTCGGATGTGAGCTACGGTTGAGAGAAGGTGTGTTTTCAAGTGTGCCGTATATTATCCTCCATCATGACAATGCTCTGTGTCACACATCACTTCTGATATATGGCAATTTCTGTCAAATAAAAACATTACAGTGTGTTCTCATCCACCTTATTCATCGGATCTGGCACCGTGCGACTTCTGGTTCTTCCCTAAAGTCAAAATGATTCAGTACATCGAGGCAGCCACGACAGCACAACTAAAGACACTCACAAAGAACAACTCCAAACCTGTTTCAGAAAGTGTCAAGAACAATAGGATAAGTATGTGTGAAGCAAGGGGGAGTATTTTGAGGGGAATTAATGGCAATGTGTCTTTTACTGTAATAATTTTTTAAAATTTAAACATTCACAGTACTTTTTTTTTT